GCAAGAAGAAAAAATAAACGAGATGGTGAAAAAGATGTGGTTTGGAGAAGAAGAGAAACAGCAGTGTCTCCAGCTCCAGTCACAGGCAGCTACTGCCAATGTGCCGGTGTCTGTCGATGTCAGCATGAAGTCAGAGCACAAACTGTTTGTATCAGTCTATGAGCCATCTGTAAGCTACTGCGTCCGGCTAGGACGAGTCATCGTCACTTATGACAAAAGAACGAACACTTGGCACTGCCCGTGTACAAAGCCAAGCTCTTCATGCATTCACAAATATATGGCCAAATGGCATTTATTCGAGACACATGTGCATCTCTTCAGAAAGGAACCGAGCACGGAGATGAAGTCAGACATAAGTGAACAAGAACCATCAGCTGAAAATATGGGCATCGCATATCCTCCTGAAGATGACCAACTGCAGAGAATGGTCTCATACATTCACTCTTCGAAAAGGTACCCAGCTGTTTTACCTGATGATGTCCTTTCTGTCCAACAAGAAGGATACCCAGTGCAGCTTTTCCCCCTGGAAACGTTGTGCTCTACATGTCCAGAAGACACCGTTCTTGGCCCACCGATTCTCATCACGAGTCAAGCGCAGATTGTGTCTTTGACTGGTGTTCAGAAAGGTAAAGTATAATCTATTTGGCTTTTGTTAACGTGTCTTTTGTCAACTCCCGAAAAGACTGACCCCACCCCCCCCCCTCCCCCCCACTCCTCTCTCCTCTCAGGTGTCAACACTTACTGCAAACAATGTAGCAAATGTGGGATGCTGTACAGATACCAGGAGTATCACGATGGTTTGCATAACTTCGATGACAGTGTCATTTTGACCTTAAATCTTTGCATCTTCCTACGGAACTCGCTGCAGGTATACAGTTTGCATATTGTACATTCATTGAACACATCATGTAATGAAGCAGTGTGCCTTTGTACAGAGAATGCTTTATTCAACCTTTTTGTCTTTGTAGGCTCACACAGCTGTCGGTCAAGTTTTTGATGCCCTAGAAGAAACTTTTAAGACCCCGTTGCCAAGCAGGGATCGGCTTCTTCATGCGTATTTGCATTTTGAAGCTCTCACGGCACATGAATATAAATATTATTGTGTGAACTGTGGATACTTCCCATCTGTAGTGGTGATGGATCGCCACGAAAAGGGGGTGTTCAGCATGCCGTGTAAGTGTCTTTAATTGTGTCATAATAATTTACACGTTTTTTTTTGTTTTGTTTGTTTTTTTAAACACTGACGTTGAGATTGTTATGACACTTTGTTGTGTGGCTGTGTCTGTCTGTCTTAAGTCGGTGATATAGAGCCGGTCCCGGGGGATTTCACAGGGGACGTGAACAGTGAAGATTTCTGGGATTGTGTTTCCGCGGAGATGATTGCCTGGGGACTCACGTCGAGTAAGTGTAATTCTGTGTTTTGTTGTTGTTGTTGTTGTAGTTTTCTATTTACAGTTCAGTAGAAACGGCATCAAAATCCGACAGATTAAATTTGTGCTTCCAACTGAAACACATCAACAAAAAGCTTATCTTGTTCTTTATCTGAAACTGATGTTTAACAACTATGTAAATATGTAAAAGACATTCGTCCCACCTGATGAACCTTGCTGAATTGGTTTTCCGACTTTTCATTCTGACTAACAGGTGACAGCAACAATCCGTTTACAGTCCATCCCAGCTATCATTTTTGGGCTCCTTGGATTGGGCAAGGCACACGAAGGTCCGACATAGTGCTTAACACAGAGTTTTTAAAAGCTCTGGGCGGAGCAGACGACATCAACGTAACAGAAGACAGACTCACAAATCAACTGATGAATTTGAAGGTATGTCTTTCACACACTTTGTTTAACCCTTTATTTTGTTTCTTTTCACTAAGGACTCTAATATGGTTATTTCTCTGTTTATAGACCTGAAAGAGCAGGACAGTTTTATGGAAGTAGAGAAGCAAAGTAGCTTTTGGAAGCAATTGAATACATTTAAATCACATCAATAGGCCAATAGACAATATTACACACTGTCAAAACATGTTTTGAGTATCTATTCTTTCCCTTGACCTACACAGGTGGACGCAGTGCGTACACTTTGTAAGGAATGTGGTGTCGACTCTAATGGTTCCAAGATAGATCTCATTCTGCGCCTCAGGACCAAAATGCAAAATAAACAGGACTGCAACAAAGTGTTTGAGAAGATCTGCGGAGCTTCAGGTGAGACCTCTGCATTTTTCTTGGTTTTTCAGTTTAATGCGATCTCTTGCCATTGCTGTAAATAAATATTAACCGTTCTTATTGTACTTCTTGCTGCTAATGGTTTAATTATTTTCTATTCATCAGGTGGTTTGGCTGCCATCATGTGTCCCTGCGGCATAGTGTACAGCTTGAAGTTCAACATTAGAGCAGAAGGCCCCAGAGACTTTGCAGATATGCTGCTGGCGTGGAAACATCTGCCCAATGTATCAGTCTACGACTCAGCACAAGCTCTTGTGAACCACACCAGTGGCAGAGAGCCAGAAAATCTACCATTCCAGCCACACGAAGGCCGTCTTGCTCCTCCAACTCCTGAGAACATTCAGGCCGCCAAGGACCGAACACTGAAGATCCACCTTCCATGGATTTTAGAGCCGAACACTGAAAATGTTGAAGATGACAGTCATCCATGTACCAAATCATCTCACCGTTATGTTTTGTGTGACAAGCCAGATGAAGACAACGGCAAAGATGAGAAGGATATCCTCAGGAGGATTGATCTTGTACCTGAGCTAGCAGGTCAGCTCGACAGCAAAGTAGCAGAACAGTTCTTCACAGAGATGAGGAAGAACGATTACTTCCTGAAAAACATGTCGCCGTCAGCTTGCGTTTTTCTGGTGCGAAACATGGTTCATCACCACAATGAAAAAAAAGAAAGACAAAGCATTGAGAAGATGAAAAGAAGCGTGTGGGAAGTCGGCTCCAGCCCGGATTCTGTAGATAATTCTGCCAGCTTGGGTCATTGTCACGACACCAGGGATATAACATGACCGTGATCTCTGCGAAATAAGCCCTCAATTTAGAAAAAAAGTAGATTGAATAGAAGACTGTTTGTGTCGTGTGTAATTTACAAAGAAAAGCTTATAATTGTATGTTAATACAGTTTAACTGAAAATGTCATTAGGAGTCCACAATCAGTTCAATGGGTTATTGTATGCATATTGTTACTAAATATATGTATTTATCTTTGAGAGACATACTGTATCTTAGTTTTTTTTTTTTTTGTGATAATTCAATAGCATGATTGCCGTAACCCTGTAGAGCACCAACCAGGCGCGAGCTTTTATGTTGAAAATGAAAAGCTCACGACGCTCCTGGGGCTTCAGGGCACCGGGTGAGAGGGCATGAGACGAGAAGTTCCAGACTGCAGCCATGCAGAAAACTACTAAAAGGACGTCTTTGTAGATGTAAAAAAAAAAAAAAAAAAATGTAAAGACGACAGTTTGTTCATGGTTTATGTAAATAATTAGGAAAAATAAATAGTCTTTGTTTACAACTTCTAAAATGGCTTTTTGTTTCATGTTCTGTTATAAAGCTGAATATAGAAGGATTCCCCATCGACAGTTTTTTTTTTTACACTGATTTATCTAAGATTAAAAAACAATCACCGCAAGGAATTAATTCTATTGGAGGGGGGGGGGAAATCATCCAACATGTGTGTGAAAGATACATTTTATTCTTAAAGCGAACACATTTGAGTAATCCTAAAATGTCTCTAGATACAGTTCAACCTCTCTGTCATTAGAAATACTGGTTGGTACTGAGTCCTCATCCTGTACACGAAGTTCACAGATTAATGACCTACTGCAATATTTGGTAGAACACGTAATGGGAGAGGAACATTTTGTACAAATTAGCATTCATATTACCTTGAGGGACTAATACTATATATCATGAAACTGCAGAACAACCTTGATTATTAAGCGGTGATGCAGTAAGGAGCGGCTGACTTGATTGATGGAGAAAAACATCTCTGTAACTGTACAGTACTTAAGAATTCCCTTTTGCACATGTTTGTATCACAACTCGTATTTCTACAAAGCTCTAGAGGCCACATTCTTCTCACAGACATACACATACTCAGCAATACAGTGCAGATAACATTGGTCCTGAGGGTCTGGAGGTAGGAAACAGCAGGAAGGTTTTCGGAGCACCATCAACAGTGTGAGGAAATATGTAACAGGAAACACAACAGCTAATGCTAAGATGACATGCAATATTGGTACCAAGCCATTAAATTTAGGCTGAAATACAAGAAGGCACAAGTGAGGTCTCACTTTTCCACATCACTGTCTCTCCACCTGAGAATCCACTTTGTGGTTTCTCAATGTCTTATCTCTCCTACCTTTCTTGGTTCCGGTTCCATTTTCCTTTTTACAAGAAGTTTAGTTTCTCAGAAGTATAAACGCTGCAGGACTCCGACGTGTCAGTGTCCAGCGGCAGTGTTGAAAAGTATTCTTGTGTTTTGCTCCATCTTTCTTTGTTTCCATCTTTTTTGATCTGGAATTGGGCACAGTCCTCAGAGGAATGGAGGCAGTCTGACGCCCCGGGCACAGAAAAGGAAATCCTCCTCTCTTCTTCATTAGATGTATCCTGCTACAAAAAAAAAAAAGTTTAAAAAAATGTAAATACATTTGGATAGTGATGGCTGAATTGTAGTTTTACCTCAGGGGTTGAGTTATGACAAGGGGAGCTCCGAGGTGTGAGCCTGTTTGCTTCCTGGTTCTGAGATCTTGGTGTTTCCGCCATAACTGGACTATAACCCTGGCAGAACAAACAGCAGCATGTTAGCGTTATTTTAACAGTTTTGCCTGGGAGGGAAAACCTGCTTGATTCTTTGAGAACCGTTAATCAGACGTACAGTGTGAGTGGGACTGGCTCCTGGGGTCCACTTTCTTGGTGTTCCAGGATGCTGAGCGTGACCGTAGAGGGAGGACGGCTGAGGGCTGGGCTGGCTGTAGTCCTGCGCAGAAAAACAAACAATGACACATAAAACTTGCTAAGTGCTTTTTTTTTGGTAACAACAATGTAGAAACAAAGGGAGGGGAAACAAGGCCAAAACTATTGAGCACTTTTCATGAATCTTGGGTATTTCTTTGTCTTTGTTCTGTTGCTGAAGGTCATCATTTCTCTTTTGGTATCACCGCTGATTTGTTGCTTCAATAATCAGTCATGAGTGAAACTAGCTCACCTGCTTTCTTCATGTTTTGTGCGATGATGTCATTACATCCTAATCATAAGTAGTACACGTGTATGGACCTCTAGAGGGATCAAAGGCATTTCCAAAAGATTTTTTTCATATTATTTTCAACAGGTATTCCACTGGGCTGAATCTTTATTTTTAGTCACCTGTTACCATTTGTAATTGTGGTGTGTCTGTTTTAAGTAACCTCTGTGTTTTTATTTAAAAAAACAAAGCAATGATCCACATCAAGATGCATTTATGAAGGATTTTCAATGGATTAGAATTCACTTAAAGATGATGGTTCAATGTTGATATTAGGATTATGTATGAGATTATATAACATATTAACAAGGATCTTAATGTGTCTCTTGCAGGTTTAACTAAAGGCTTCGGAGGACACTTGATCTTACTTGATACAAATCTTAACACTGCCGAAATGACACGTGTTCAAATGGAGTCTTACTTATACAACACATGCAGAGATGCAAACTTTACGAGATGGATTATATCACATAAGCATTAAACTTTGAAGTCCTGGATTTAAAAAGAGGTAGAGTCTTGTTAATATCACATAGTTATTTAATCTCTCAAACGTTCAACACGACACACATGTTCTAATAATAACCACCAATACTCCTCTTGCCCATCCAGCATGAGTGTATTGATTATAAACTTATTATTTAATGTATTCATTTTAATATGATAATTTCTTGAAGAAGCTTGCTCTGGACTGGACAAGTAAACACTTCCATGTTAAACTCTATTAAAATGGTACAGCACTAAACTATACAAGATTGAAAAATAATCATAATAAATAATTATAATTTATCCTTTATTTATCCTGCGAGGGGAAATTTTGTTTTTTACACTCTGTTTAATGAACATGCTACACAAACATAGGCCGAAATACACACAAACATGCACAAAACAGGATCCTATGGACATGCATTAATGGAGAGGTCTCAGAGTGAGGGGGCTGCCCACAGCGAGCTCTCCAGAGCAGTTTTGGGGTTCGGTGCCTTGCTTAAGGGCACCTCGGCAGTGCTCAGGAAGTGGACTGGCACCTCTCCAGCTACCAGAACGATTTCCGGACTTGGTCCGTGCCGGAACTTGACCCGGCAACCCTCCGATTCCCAACCCAAGTCCCTACAGACTGAGCTACTGCCGCCCAAATGAAAAGTGGGGATCGAAATCTTTTGAATCAGGCTAAACCCAGTAAGCACTAAACTGAGGGCACAACTCAAAAAAATAAAAGGAAGACCTCCAACAGCATTTCTCCTACCTTCAGAACTATCTCACTTGGGAGTGCCACTTAACAGGCTCTCCTGATTTCCTCACCTGGATGTTGACCCTTGGAGGGTTGTTTGGGAGCGGGCGGTTTGCTCTGAGGCTAGCGATGAAATGCGAGAGGCTGCAGCTCGGGTATCTCCTCATGAAGAGCAAGAAACCAGCCAGTGATACTAACATACCCGAAGGAACTGTGATGGATTTGAGAAGCGCTCGCCATCTGCCTCCCTTTTCTGGAGAGATAGAGACATCATCAGATCTCAGAGTGAATGAAAAATAAGCAAAAGAACAAACAAAACAAAAAAAGTCTAATATGAAAAAAATAAAAACCTTTTAAGTCACTCACCAATCACCTGCAACATAGTGGAGGATACCAGGTTTCCATCTCCGTCTCTTATTTCGTAGACGCCATCATGCCTTGAGGTCAGCCTTGCTATGACGACTTCATTGATGCTGCCATTTCTACCAAGAGAGATAAGGCCCCTGTAGCGCATGTCGTAGTCCGTTATGTGGCCCTCGCGGATCAGCTGCACCGGGCCTCGGGGAGGCTTAGGGTCAAAGGGGCCCAGGGAGGATTCATCAGGGTATCGGTGGGGGGTAAAAATGAGATGGGCATGAGGGACAGGAAGAAAGAGGGGCAGGTTTAGAGACTCCCTGGTGAAGCGGGTGACATTGAAGGAGTGCCCTGCATCAGTATGCAGGATTGTGAACAGGAGGGGAGAAGGACGGAAAATATGAGGGTGTCAAATGGAAAGGGAAAGATAAATATAAATGTTACATTTGACACTTGACATGGTCCTATAGTTAAAGAAATGAAACAGTCAGCTTTATTCAACTCATCCTTTGGTTTTCTGTCTCTGCTCACCGCGGACAGTGAGGGTGCTGCGGGACAAGGCCTTCCCCTTGTCGTCCCTGATGGTGTAATTGCCCTGGTCAGCTTGCCTCACTCTCTCTGCCACCCAGACCTTCCCGCCCCTCAGCAGCCGCCCTCGCCCCACATTGCTGGTCGCCAGGTCTGTCTTGTTCCACAGAACAACGGGCATGGCCTCAGGTGGAGCACCCCTGGGTAAAAACTCCAGCAAGGAACCATTTTCAGGGATTTGGTACTCAAAGTTTTCCCCATAGTTTCTGTTGTAAGACTTGATGCATTCTGAAGCAGAGAGAGAGAGAGAGAGAGAGAGAGAGAGAGAGAGAGAGAGAGAGAGAGAGAGAGAGAGACAGAGACAGAGAGAGAGAGAGAGACAGAGAGAGAGAGAGAGAGAGAGAGAGAGAGAGAGAGAGAGAGAGAGAGAAACAGTGAAAAAACATATACTACATATACTTTAAACAGTATAAAAATATGTGAAGGAGAAAAAGGGACCAACATAGAAGCCATCTAAATTCTATTGAAGGATCCATTCAAACAAACCACTTCTGGGAAAATTGAAAAATGCAAAACAAACAGCAACACAAGGACCTTCCGATCCAAAATGTAGACATACGAATAAACCACTTCTCTAACCTTTTTGGCCCAATAGAGCATAAAAAAAACAAGATAAACTACAAAGTCACTAGGAACTGAAAAGGCCTGTGGTGTTGATGGCATCCTAAACGAAATGAGAACGTTTACAGACCTCAAATTCCAGCTGGAATTTAAAAGATCTGTTTAAAAGATCTAAATCTCTCCTCAGTTTCGGGATCTTCCGCAATATTTGGAAACCAAGGACTAATAACGGCACTCCACAAAAGTTGAGACAAATTTGACCCCAATAACTACTGTGGGATCTGTGTCAACAGCAACCTGGAAAAAATCCTCTGTATTTTCATAAACCACAGACTCCTTCATTTCCTCACCGAAAATAACGTCCTTAAAGAAATCACAAATTGGCTTTTTACCAAAGTATCGCACAACAGACCACGTTTTCACTCTTAGCACCCTAACCGGCAACCGAATAGACTAAAGAGTAGCTAATTATTCTCCTGCTTCCACTTTAAAAAAAAAAAAAGTTTGACTCAATTTGGCACGAGGGTTTGCTGTACAAACTGTTAGAAAGTGGAATTGGGGGAAAAACTTATGGCATCATAAACTCAATGTACACAAACAAAAAATGTGCTGCAAAAATTGCCAAAACCTAATTATAACAACAACATTCAGTTGTTTAAGCTGAGAAAATGTTCTTGTAGAACAACTACTTCGATACTTGAAGTGCATTACTTGCAGATTATACTTGATTAAATACATTTCCTTTGGTTTGATTTTGAATAAAGGACTTTTATGTGTAATGGAGGCAGCTGCATTGGGCAAAACTACAGGGGGGGGGGATTTCACAAAACAGGAGAAACTTCTGTACCTGAAACAGTCAATCGAACAGTCTCATAGGTGAATCCAGAGGCAAGTTTGATGGAATAAAGTCCCTGATCATCATGAGTCACTTCTTTCAGGACTAGCATCTTATCTCTGGTCCACTCGAACCGTGGGTCCTTCACCTGCAGTTGTACAGTAAAGCGTTTTTTGACAATCTGAATGCACATTATACTAACAGAATCAAAAGCTGAGACTGACTTTTCCACTCACATTTGTCCTGTCCAGCAAGGTGCGTCTCTCTCCCTCTGAGTTTGGCGTAAAAGTAACCATTCTGGATGTAGAGTACACAGGCAGACGAAATTCCTTCCCGGAACACACACTCTGGGCTTCTTCTTTTTCACCTGTTAAGGGAAATAGAAAAACTTTGCAACCTCCTTGGGGAATGTGTTTTGTAGATGAAGGATGTGTGATGAAATGTTGCATTTGACTCACCCCAGTACAACCCAACCTGTGTTGAGAGCAAAATAAATATGATTATAAATAGTATTATACAGAGCTATGCTTAGGTCACACCAATGTTATTTGACTGTGGAAATTCTATTACAACTTTCAAATAGATTTACCAACTTAATTGGTAAAGGGTAAATAGATTTTATTGTAATAACTGACCTCCTTAATTGCCTCGTAACTTCCCTGGCCTCAGCCATAACATGACTGCTATAAAATAGAATGCAATTATCCTAACTTCCTAAGAAAGGATTTTTTGTAAACCAGAAAGCCACTATGGGTGGTCCATACAATTAAAAGCATTTTGATGGAAATCTTAGCTTCCTTACAGAAAGTACAAACCCTACTAATTAAAGTTGTAGTTTTATGTTGAGAGTTTCCAGGTCATGCCTTTAAAAGACCTTTTTGACATTTATCATTTCGCATGACTAGCTTTGGCTGTGATGTAAAAACCTTATCTTTAATTATAAATAGAAAGTTATTCAAGCCATTAATTGCAATGTATTGCAATTATGCATTATTTAAAGGGGTACCAATATAATATTCAATAACTCACCCACAGCGAGAGGAAGGGCAAAAAGGGCAGTGAATAGGACAGTGGAGGACATCGTCTCCTTTGACGACAACCCCGAATGTTTCATCTACGAACAACGTGGACACAGATGCAAACAAGAGATTTGTCATTCGTCGGTCCCCCTCTTTGAAAACAAGCCTCATCATCAACCATCAGGCCACACAAGGGGGAGCTCAAACACAACTGTTGTGATGATGCAGCGCTCGAGCCTCCAAATCATTTACATCCATGAAGAATCAATATTGTCACAGCGTGATTCACGACACCCTGTATGCTTGTCTGAAGTTAAGTCCACGCAGGTGTCAAATGCATTTCTACGCAGATGAATACTATTTATAGCGATCCCGCTGATCAACAAGCCGCCAATGGGTTGGTGAATTGTCAAATCTAGTAGTCACTGACGCATGCAATCTGTACTTACCTGCAGGAAAACTGACAGAATGGATCAATCGATGGATGCTGAGGAATGTTTATATAGAGAGGGATAAGAGGATGACAACGTCCTCTGCAGAGCGCGCATGGGCATTAGCGCTTGTTCTACAATTTATCGCGATGGCAGGCGGCATTCTCAGCAGCGCCTACGCAGGACGCGTCGCATGCTGCGTTGGTTTCGCAAATTCCTGGGAATAAAAAACCGCTGATAGCGTAAGAGCCTGAACAGTGACACAGGAGTAGGCCTACTCCTTATGCCGAGACAAACTTAAATGTTGTCAGTAGTTTACAAAAACAGAAGAACAGGTCGCTCGACATTGTGTCTGCAGATAAGATGCCATTTCGTTATTTGAATAAAACTGATGGAGATCTAAATCTAGGCTACCTACATCCAAAAATGTCACAAATGTTATTATGACGTTGGACAAGTAGCCTATGTTAATATTTACAGGTATATGGTTTAAACTCCCGTAGGACATAGAATATCATCTCCCAACAATAATATCAAAATGCTACAAAAAATATCAAGAAAACAAATGGAGCAAGTAATATAGCCAACCAATGTGTGGTTAAAAAAAAGTACAGCAATTATAATTTGAGTTCAAGTATGTTTTGCTATAATTTGAATCTGCACATTTACTTTAACTAAATCTATCTGCAGTTTAGAAAATAAATATCTCTGAAATAACAGCGGACGTGGAGTCAGATTTATTTTCTGAAGCAAATTATATTGTTTCACACGTGCAGATATAAACTGCCACTGACACAATAAAACTCTTCGCACTCAAATTCAACAACCTTGCACAAATTCATCAACAGAGCTATACACAGGTAGCTGTGAGTGAGTCAAATAAAAGAGATTTGAAATGAATCGGTTTTCATATTAAACCTGTACTTCAGGTTGTAGGAACAAAAAACTAGAACTTCAAAATTGTACTTAATGTCTTCAAGAAATTCACTGCTTTGTATAGCTTACATCTAATCCTAACCCTTTTTAAAAGCCATGTTTTGTATTTTATCTTTTCTGTGAGGTATCCTTGTGGTTCAGATGTTTCAAGCATTAATTATCATCCTATATTAAATAAATATTACACTTTTAAAATGTTAAGCACTGCTATTAAAACATATGCTGTTGAATGTGTTTGTTTTCTTTGTTTATTCTTTGACGCAGCCTACATGCTTTTTATATATTGTAGGCTATCTGTTTGTCTTTATTGATCGTTTTAAACCTTAATATACAGTCTATGGTTAAAACACACCCCGTGTTGTGGTTGAGAAAAAGGCGCCTGGAGGACGGTAGGCTATATGCACAGTTTGCGCACAGTCTGCGCAGACATGACGCTAAAACACAGTTTGAGAGATAGCCTCGCCCCTGGCCGGGTTTTTCCTTCTCTAGGACGTTGTTTATGTTTACAGTCTATGGTTTTGGACTAAAAGTAATACAATACATTTGGGAAAGTCGTTTAACAGTGAGATGACAAATTGTTGCCACTGTGCTTATTTGAAATGTTGTGCACAAATTTTCATCTTAATGTTCTCTGGTTTTAAAGAAATGCTGTGGCGATCTCATCATGTTGTGTAATTAAATAACCTCTGCTCTCTCTGCAGGCCATGTTAGGGTTGTATATTGCTGTTTCCTTTTTTGTATTTGGTGAGTGTACGTTTTTTTCTTTCTTTCTTTTTTTTTTTTAATTAGTGCATAGAAGGAGTTATTCAACAATGTAAATGCACTCTTTTCTTATTCTAATCCTACTAAACTTGATTTAGGCTGAGGAGAAAGTGGATGTATTTTATTCAGCCATTGGTGTTACCCAGAGGTTAGACCTCGTTAACCCCTTATTAAAGGCTTTGTAAGTCATACTATCATGCCTGAGTCAGTAACTTCATATGTTAAAGAATTGATATTCTCATAAACCCCAGTTGTGCTTTGTGTTTGGAGTTAAATAGCAGGTTAGCATACTGCTATGCAAAACTAAAATCCAAGACCCTTAATTTAAAAAAAAAAAAGAGGCAGGATCCTTTTGTCACACTTATCAAGTGGTCATGGGATATTTTTTATAATGTAGCTTCAGTTGAACATTTTTTTCTCAACATTGTAATAGTTGTTTCTGACATAGGCCTACGTATATACCCTCCATTTACGCCTTCACCTATTTATAACTCTGTGTTTGAAGGTTCATCTTCTGCTCTTGAGAATAAAGCGCTGTGCTTTGGTGGAAGACTCTCCATACCGTTTGAATACACACCGCTCCTTTTCAGTGGACAGTTGTACTTCACTCCGAGTGATGGGGGACCCACAACTCTATTGATGGATAACGGGGAGGTAGGCATGCATCTGGTGCTATGATTTCTGCTATGCCGCTTATTGCTATGACAACCTTGTGTGGAAAGAGCTGGGATATGACAAAGTTAAGCATCTGTTCAGAGCAAACCAGATATGAATCAGAATGAATGTACTCCGTCTGTCCTGATTCAGTTTTTTACTTTTGTCCAATTATTTCGGCAAAAGACCCACGGCTTAAACAAAACTTCATCACTTCTTATTTGAACGATTTGACGGAAAGAGATGATGGGATTTCTTCTGTCTCATCCAATGAGAATAGGCGTCTTGATATCATCAAACTGGAGGTTTTGGGTGAGAAAATGACACTGTACTGCACATTAAAACCCTTTATTCCAACAGTTAATTAGTATTTCTCTATTTAATTGTAGAGTCCTAAAAAGTCCACCCTGTGTTCTTTTCAGATTGTGCAGTCGATGTCAGCACAGCTTACGGAAATTGGTATTACCTTGACGTTCTTCGGCAGGCTGAAATCCTGGAGTTCACTTCCCAGTCCCAGTCCCAGTTACTCCCTACCAAAGGTCTGGTGGAGCCGCACAGACCCTCGGACCACCAAGAGAGGCAGAGGACAGAAGAAGTGTGATTTCTGGGAGATCATCAAACTCACTCAGAAGGACAGTGGCTTCTACAATGTCAGGGGAAAAGATGGGTCTTTGCTGTCCAGGACTTTGCTCAAAGTAGAAGGTGATTTCAGGAATGTCATAGAAGAAGAATGTTGTCTGTAGACTCTCTGTGTAGCTGATTAAATGTTCTATCAACTCTTCTCCTTCACAGCGGACTCTATAAGCTATAAAAGAAGTGAAGGCGAGGACCTCATCATCAGATATCCTTCAACCAAATCCTCTTGGACTGTAACTGTGACTAAACCCGGGGAAGACACCGAATACTTAATTTTGATCAAAGCAGGCAATCTGCTCACTGACAATAGTAATTCTGGAATACCAGGAATATGACGGGAGGGTTCAGATTTTGCATGACGGCATAGAAATCAGGTCTTTGCGAATCATGGACTCTGGCGTTCTTGGGTTTAGAGACGAGGAAAGCTACTTGGCCCTGACCGTTCATCTGAATGTGCAGGCTGGTGAGCAGCACACGTTAAATTAGTCACAAGAGGGAAAATGTATGACTACAACTTCGCTGATGATTCAAACTAACATAACCCCACTAACATCCATTTCTCATGCCCTTACAGCATCTATTCCTACATTTGTTATTGTTTCCGTTATTGCGGAATCGTCTTTGTGGGGATTCTCTGCTTCTGCTGCATGAGAAAACGAGGTTGTAAAAAGAGCGCTCCTAAAAGGGACGAGGCTGCAGCGGCACCTCCAGTGTATTACCATGTAAGTTAGCGCTAGCTGGCAATCAGATCAACTGTTTGTAATATGTGTTGCTATTTTTAATTCAATATCCTTGTTCCGATTGCAGGATAAGACTCATCTTTCAAGCTCGAGTTACCGTGCTGCACCTGCGCCAAAACCCTCTTATGAGCCAATGAACCCCAGTGAGCCAGCAGCTTCATCATCTGGGACACCGGTATGTCTTAAAACTAAAGTATTCAAGCAATGAACCAAAACTTCTTTTGAGGTGTTTCGTCGGTTCAAACCATGACAACAACGATAAGAGGTGTTAGGTTTAGACCTTGTTTGGTTGCTCATTAACATAACCAAGTCCATGCTTGGTGCCAAAACACATTCAAAAGTTTATCCAAAGCAAATATACTGTCTCCTTATTTGTCTCCATTCAGTATGATCACACAGACATAGTGCACATTTATATGTTCGTCGTCACTTCAACTTTAATATCATGTATCCTTATCATTTAATCCACTAAAAATGTATTGTAAAAGACGATCATCCTGGGGCACTGATGGCCTAGCGGTTAGGCCACGCCCCCACATAGGACAGATGTGGACCTCTAAGCGGACGGGCCGTGTTCAAGTCCAACCTGTGGCTCCTTTCCCACATGTCATTCCCCACTTTTTCATCAACTTAAACATTAAACTTGTTTTGGTTTACTCCTCTCACAGGCTGCGCCTCTGCGAGATCAAGGGGACACTCCAGCTCCTACTTTCGGCTCTGATTGTCTCTCCTCTGACCGTGAGCTGAGGTATGAGCAGAAAGGACTGACCATTCTCTCTGCTCCGACCCTCAGTTCAGACTCAACTTTCGCTGCTGTTTATACCTCAGACAAACTCAACTTTTAGTAAGAAACGTCATTCACATTGGACAGATGAGGTGTTGTTTATTGTGACCAGCTGGAACACAGCCTTAGCTGCCTTTGATTGGACAGTGACATATACACACGTTAGAAAATAAGTCGCATTCGGAGGGCTGGTGGCGCAGCGGTTTGTGCACACCTCCCATGTATGGAAGCTGTAATCTTCCAAGCAAGGCGGCCCAGGTTCAAATCCGACCTGTGGCTCCTCTCCTGCATGTTGTTCCACACTCTCTCCCAATTTCTGAATCTATCCACTGTCCTATCACTCAAATAAAGGCACGAAAAGCCCCAAAATAAACCTTTAAAAAAAAAAGAAAATAAGTTGCATTAAGAGGTGGACAAAGTCAAGTACCAGTGGTTCCTAACCTTTTTTCCTTGTAGCCCCCCTACTTGTATCGTAGAAATGCTGAAAAAAGCAGTCCCATATCCTTTTGCGTTCTCACATCAGCTCACTCGGACTTTCAGCAGAATAAATACCAAGGGCTGGCAGGAGAAACTTCAGATAAAGTCAGTTTTTTTCAGGAGTTTGAAAGCCCTAATAGTCTTCCGCTGTGGGGCGTTAACAAGCATCCAAGCATGATTTTGATTGGCAGTTATTTTATAAATGCAAAATGAAACACAATGCCATTAATGCTAGCTTGACTCATTTCCACATTTGTTAAAGGTTGGGACTTTCTTCAGTATGAATACAATTGTACTCACGCAAATGCAGGGTGCTCACAGTTTGATGCTAATATAGTATTATTTTGTATTAACTCTTGATGACTGGATCTGTTTTAAAGTAATAGTGTAGCAAACAGTGGAGTGTGAGAGGAGGATATAAATCAAGTTAACCATATTAACACACATTTAAAAGCTTGTAGGACAATTTATGAATTCACTCAATTTTCTCAGGAACTAAAAAAACAAATAAAGCTCTCTCGGTTTCTGTACTGTAGTTTTAAACTGCAGATGTTTGAAGTGCTTATCGATATAAT